GTAGCAGGGGAATCTGCCGTTTCGGCTACCACAATAGTGTATTCCATCGCTCCCCTTTCCTCTGCGATAAATAAAACAAAGTAAAATGATTTTTGCAATAAAAGAAAGAAATATGACTTTTGAATGACGAATACAAAATTGAATAATTTTTACGTAATTAAAAAAAAAAATGACTTTTGCTTAATGAATATAAAGTTGTATGACCCCTCAAATTTACTTGCTTTTAAGTTTCAAAATCTATTATATTCTAGGGAATCAACAGCAAAAGATTAATACATATTGATTTTCCAACTATATGCTATAGCTAGCTGTTACTCTCGTACTAATTGTTATTTCATTCAATTTCTTTCTACTTTCATGCACTTGATTTTCTCTTCTTCTTCTTTTTTTTTTCCTTAATTTAATTTACTAAGATATTCATTTACTCATGACGTGCGTTAGCCGTTCTAGAAAATATTAAATATAAAATAAAATGAATTCTGGAGATTGAGAATATTTAATGAGGTTTAAAGATCATTAGCAATTATTATTTTTCATAGGAATTGGGATGATTGCGTGAAAGAGCAACTTGGAACCTTTTTTTGTTATAATAATGCGGTGTCGGACCAGCCTGCACGCACTTGACTAATTTTACAAGGTACAGAAACAGATAACTCTATCCGTCAAGGCTTTAAAAAGATACATATTTAGATATTAAGGTTAATTAGATCTTAAGGTGAACGACTGATCGGTATTAATCTGTGACAGATCTAGAATTTAATATTACGAGTTCAAATTAAGCTTCGGTTGGAGGAAATGGTCATTAAGTTCTGACTTCGTTGAAATTAAAATTCAAAACATAATATTTATATTAATTTTCAGTGTTTGCACATGGTTTAAATAAAAATTATGAGTTCAATTGATCTTAAACCTTAAATTAATTAACTAAATATCAGCCACTGATTTTACTACTTATACATTTTCTTAACTATTATTACTAAACCTACTACATGACAATTCTTACAATAAAGCTAATGTTAATCTTCTTCATAATTGTAGATTCCTACTCGACGCATTGGACCGGAAGTTAGGCATGTCTACTGTGAAGGAAACCAAGCGGCGCACATACTAACGCAGTTTGGGAGCAACTGCAACTCACATGCTAACGCCGAGTGTGGTGAACACTTTTGGAGCAAACCACCTTTATTTGCTTTCTTTATTTTTCACAAAGATTTATTAGGGACTGTTTCGATGAGACCAGTCCGGCACTGTAATAACTCTTTACTTTAATACATAATAAATCAGCGCCCCCATCGCCTTTTATTAAAAAAAAAAAGAAAAACTAATTTTTGTTGGACAGTAATAAGCTTGAATCCAAACAAGGGTAACATGGAATTGATGGAATCATTTCTTAATCTTTTTGTTCACTCAGAGTGAGATCATTTTTAAAACAGTAAGACAATAACATAAAGTCTAATAAATAAAAAGGGAAAAGAAATAAAAAAAAAAAAGAAGAAAAGAAAAAACAAAAGAAGGTGAAGAAAAATTCTCACATCATTTCATGTAGTTTAATTTTTTGTTAAGTTTATATAAGTAATAATAAGAAAAAGAAATAAATAAACGAAGGAATAACAAGAAAAGCATAATTTTTAACTCTTCCAATCTGGGAAAGAAGATCGATCAAGGAATAACCTCAAATTTGCATGCATCATGGCCTGTCAATAGAAAATAACAAGCAATAATTAAATTATTTTGTCAACATATTATATATTGGCAATATATATATTTTAGTCTCAAGCAAGTTGGGTCGATTATATGAATCTTCACGATCATAATAAGGTCAGACCAACATTATATGGAACAAACCAAATACTAAAGAGTGAGTTCTTCTATATCTTTTTAGAGGCGGATCTAGGATTTCAAGCTTATGGGTTCGGAATTTTAATCGTCTTAAGTTATTGGGTTCTAAATTAATAATTTATACATATTTAATGAATTTTTTAAGACAAGTATAACGTTCGAACCGAAACTACTAGATTCGGCCGAACCCGCTCTCACCACTCTAACTTCGCCCTAGCTTGGATTTTCTTCTAGCGTAAAAATCTCTACTAGGCCTAAAAAACTCCTAAAGAGCATAGAGCCTAACCGTGCTAACACGACTATAACATATGCTCGATTAACAAATGTTGATTATATAGATCTTTTTATTCAATCATGCCCTATCTTTCTGTAAAAATATGGAAAAAACTAGTTCGTAACGGGAGGATCGTCCAAGTTTATATAAGGAGACCAACAACCCATTCTTTAATCAATATGGTTGAATTCTAAATTAATAAAATTTATTCATATACAATAATTTTTTAAAATAACTACATGATTCGAACTAAAACTACTGAATTCGGGCCGAACTCATTCTCAACACTCTAACTCCGCCCTTATAGTTTTTCTAGCGTAAAAATCTCTAATAAGTCTAAAAAACTCCTAAAGAGCGCAGAGCCTAACTGTGGTAACATGACTAGAACATATTCCCCATTAATTGATGTTGACTATATGGATCTTTTTATTCAATTATGCCCTATCTTTCTGTAAAGATATGGAAAAAGCCAGCTCGTAAAAGGAGGACTGTCCAAGTCTATATAAGGAGACCAACGGCCTATTTTTTAACTAATATGGGACTCTATCCCACTCTAATACTCCTCGCCCAGACACCGACTGGAGCGTGGACAATATATATCATAGCACGGAAAAGGACCTTACTCCGATACCATGTAAAGATACAATGCTTGGATCTTACTCAACCCCAAAAGCTACCTCGTGAGAGAGGATTAGCCCATATTTTGCAAAATATAGCAGTGAGATTTCTTTTCAACTTACTTGGATCACGAGCAGTTAAAACAGCAGCAGAATTGAAGTAGCAACTTGCCCCTTTTTGCTTTGAGTTTTGGTAGTAGCTATTGAATGCATAAGAAGCATGATCTCTCACTGTATTTGGGAGGTAACATGGCTGATTTTCTTGTATTTTGCTGCAATCTGCACCATTGCCACATGCCCAAATAAGTGCCTGTAACAGCTCATCATCTGGTGTCTGTTCATCAGCTATGCACCAATCATGAAACTGTCCCTCTAACCAAAAAAACATAAACAAAAAAGACAAATTCAATTAATAAAACATTCATTTAAAGGAGGACAGTTGCGGTAGACCGACGATGAGTAAAATATACAGAAGATTCATATAGCTTAATCCTAACTAGTTTGTGATTAAACCGTAGTTGACTGATACAGAAACGTGCCTTTTTTCCCCCACTCTTGAGTTGCACAGCCGGAAACGACTTTTCTATCTTCAAAGGCGCTATCTAATTTATCGTCGTTTAAGGTTTGCTTTACTAGCTTCCGCATGTCAATTGATTATCTCGATCCAAACCATAAAGTAAGGTTAAGGTCTTCATACATACTATTCTCCCGGGATCTCACTTGCTGAAATACACTGAATATGTTGTTGTTGTAGTCGTAATACTCTTGAGTGGCACAGTACTATTAAATCCCATTGCCAAATCTTGACAGGAAAAACAGCGCAATGGATCTGAATTCTTGGCTAAAATGAGATTTATAAGGTCTGATCCACTAAATGATTGGCTATAGTTATGTGTCTAGATCTAGTCAAAACAAGTCAAGATAGAAAATTTCCTAGGTAAATAATTACATGTCAAATTGAAAGAAAAAGATCAAATTCTTACCAGATTTTAAGGTAACATTTGAGATGAAGATCAAAAAGACAAGAATCTTTATCAACCCAAATGACATTGATCTGTTGCAATTAGAACTGGACATGTTCATAACAATATAACAGAGGAGAAACTCTTTGAATTATATGATTGTGCAAATTATTCAAATCTGTGTACAATGACTTAAAATGGTTGAAATTTTATTTCATATTGCCTAGTTTGCCCTCATGTTTATTACATACCAAATATTTTTATATTAATACATGCTATAAAATTCTTTATTCTTTACTTGGAAAATATATTTAGTTTAAAGGGTTATAATTGTCAATTGAATAAAAGATATGAGATTGTAGCATATAGTCTTTACGGCATCAAGATCACCGACTTGAGAAGAAAATATAAAGCGAAAAAGGTGGAAAATTCCCCTCTTCTCTTCTAGGTGTGAGTTGTCTAGTGTAATGGTTAAGGCACATTTTTAATTAAAATTAAGATGAATCGATCTGAATACACATTTGAATATTAATGAATTAAGAAAGTTTATATTTTTCAACATGTGAATATATAAAAAATATCAAAGTTAAAATAACTGATTAATCTAATATTATATCAAAAAAAAAAAAGTGGTCAGAGGTGGTTACGGCTAATACTAGTGCTTGCGGTTATGACTGACGATAGCAGTTGATGGTGATGATGGTTGTGGATAAGGGGTGTTCATGGTTCGGTTTGGGTCGGTTTTTTCCAAAAAAGAAACCAGATCAAGTAAGTCGATTTTTCAAATATTGGAACCAATTCGAATCAATTAAGTCAGTTTTTTATTGATTCGATTTTTATCAGTTTTTGTCGGTTTTTCGGTTATTTATCGATTTTTTTTTTAAATATGGGACATACACTATCAAACGCATATTCCGACGACTACATTAATGGTTAAAGGTGGTGGTAGATGGCGGTAGTTAGTATCGATGGATGATAATTCTGATGGATGAAGGTGATAGATAATAGTGATAGGCAACTCATAGCGGTGGTCGACGCTATATGATGATGACTAATGGCGGTGGTTTTGGTAATGATAGTTGGTGGTGACGACTGACTGTAATGATTGACCGTAATGGTAGTTGTGGTCTTGTGATTTATGGTAATTGATAGTAATGGGCGAAGGCGGTGAGTAGCGGTGGGAGCGGATGGAATAGTAGTGAAATGTCTTTATTTCAGAAATCTTCAAATAATTAACATTTTAATAATATAAAAGAACTTTGCTTTAGATCTTAATTATTCAAAACTATTCAAACCAGTTAAGTGATTTTGAAATAAAATAAAAATACTTAATTATTAAGATCCGAATAATTATTAAGTCCTAAAATAAAATACACTTAAAAACTAAAATTTAAATGATTAAAATTCTTCACTGCAAACAAATGAGACTTTAAAATACATTGTGGATCCATTGGGTCCATGAAGTTGGGCCGTCCAAATTGAGTATAGCAAGCCCATATTCTACCTTCAAGCCCAAAAATAAAATAAAAGAACGCTTCAGAAAAATCCCCTGCCGTTCTTCTTCATTTTTTGGATTGTCCACCCTCCCTCCCTCCCTCGCCGTTGCTTCAAATTTTACAAAGATTTCAACTTTCTTTGTAAATACCTCTTTTGGGGTTTTGGGTATTTGCTTATATCATCCAAATATTAAAATCTGTTGAATTTTTATCCAAAAACCATAGTAATGAATGGCAGCAAGAATCTCCATTAAACACTTAATCCCATTCACAATCCCTTCTCATTTATCAAAACGATCGCTATTCTCTTCATATTCAGCTTCTCATCAATCCAAAACTTTGGAATTTCTGGATTCTTGTCAAAGCTTAGCTCAGCTCTTTCAAATCCAAGCTCATTTGATAATCACCGGTCTTTTACAAGTACAGAATCCTTCATTTTCTTGCAGATTTTTGAATCTCTGTACTCAACGTTGTGATGTTGAATATACTGCTTCGGTATTTAAATGCATTGATTTTCCTGATACTTTTTCGGTTAATACTGTTATAAAAGCTTATGCTTGTAGTTCTGTGCCACATAGTGCTGTTGTGTTCTATTTCGAAAGGCTTAAAAATGGGTTCTTGCCTAATAGTTTTACGTTCCCGCCCCTCATGAGTTCTTGTGGTAAGGCGGGTAATTTGGATTTGGGTCAGAAGTGTCATGGACAATTAGTGAAAAATGGTGTTGATGGAGTTTTGCATGTTCAAAATTCTTTGGTGCATTGTTATAGTTGTTATGGGTTTATTGGTCTTGCTAGACAGGTGTTTGATGAAATGCCGCAGAGGGATGCTGTGTCTTGGAACAGCATTGTGAATGGATATGTGAAAGTGGGTGAATTAGTGGTTGCTAGGCAGTTGTTTGATGCAATGCCGGTGAGGAATTTAGTTGGGTGGAATGTCATGATGAACGGGTATTTGAATTTGAATAACCCTGGGAAGTGCCTAAAGTTGTTCCGAGAAATGGCACTGAGGGGATTGAATGGGAATGATGCAACTGTAGTTATTGTGCTTACTGCTTGTGCTCGGTCAGCTCGGATGAAAGAAGGAAAATCTGTTCACGGGTCTCTTATTAAGGTATCTAAAGATTTGAATTTGATCACTAGTACGACTTTAATCCATATGTATAGTAGATGCGGAAGAGCAGAAATTGCTCGTTTAATTTTTGATCGGATGTCGGTCAAGAATATAGTCTGCTGGAATGCAATGATTTTGGGGTATTGCATTCATGGGAACCCAAAAGATGGGCTTAGTCTGTATGCAGACTTGCTGAGTAGTAGATTACAAGGTACAGAAAAAGATCATGTTAAGAACATGAAGCAAGGTGATGGGGATCGTGTGCTTCCAGATGAAATCACATTTGTGGGTGTCTTATGCGCTTGTGCCCGTGAAGGACTGTTAGCAGAAGCAAGAACATACTTTGGCGACATGAGTGATTTGTTTGGTATAAAGCCCAATTTTGCACATTATTGGTGCATGGCTAATCTTCTGGCAGATGTTGGCCTAATGCCAGAGGCAATAAAAACACTGAAGGACATACCAGCGGAAAGCAATTTACCACTGGAATCCGCATTGTGGTTTGAATTACTTGGCTCAGCTCGCTTTGGAAGGGATGTAAGTTTAGGAGAACAAATTGCAAATAAGTTGATTGAGGAAGATCCCAAGAATTTTTGGCATTATCTGTTGCTTGTCAACATATATGCTGCAGCTGGTCGTTGGGATGAAGTAGCTCAGACAAAGAAGAGGATGAAGAAGAGAGGAATAGAAAGAACAGCGGGTTGCAGTTTAAAAGACTTGAAGGAAATTGTTGACAAAATGACAGAGACATAAACTGCAGGTATCTTTTTGTTAATCTAACTTGAGACATCTTTTGTATGCTAACAGTCTGATAGCTTTTCAGCATGATGTGCCTGAGTAGGACGATGCTGTATAATCAGCTTCCCCACTGTTATCACTTTTGCCCTATTATTATCGCTCTTTATTACTATTGTTAACACAGCAATGAAGCTATTTTAAGAAAATCGCATGATGCTGTGCTTTGATGGTCACCTGATCTTATCAGAGTCACAGTTCTTGCCGCCAGTAGCTGGTTATTTTACCTATGGAATAGTCTTTGCTTTAAAGGAAAATCCTAGTTAGATGCATGACCTCACCCTATATGTTCAATCATATGATACATGTTCATAAAGTTTGTGTCCTACTTTCTGAGAATATATTAGCTGGGAACCTTGGAAACAGTCTCCCTGCCCTTCCAGGGTAGGGGTAAGGCTGCGTACATCCTACCCTCCCCAGACCCCACTTGTGGGATTATACTGGGTGGTTGTTGTTGTATATCAGCTGGGAACCTAAAAGTGATACTGAAGATTGCGTGTGGGCATTCCTTTCACTGTTAAACTTACTTATTTGGGTTACTTCCTTCTTTTGTTTTCGTTGTTTGGTAAACTAATTTTTATTCATCACTTAAGACATTATCATCTATTTTGGTGAAATATGTAGATATTACTGGTTAATGGTGTGTCTTTATTGTGCAGGTATTGAAACCTTTTTTTTGTGGTACATTTTCCAAGTCGCCAGTGTTTCTACGAACAGGCGCATATGTAAGTGGCCTCTTACATTATGTAAAATTTCGTGCTATTAGTTTGTTGTAGTTTTGAATGGTAAAAGATTGAAAATTCGAGTGATCTTTTACTCAATTGATTTGAGCAATCTTCTTCTCTATGTTCAATAAAAAAGAAGAAATTGATTGAATTAGTTACCCTTATCATATTTATATTTTGTAAGTGATTACTTGTCCATCTGAACATCAGTTTGAGTTGCTGTCCTCAAGTAAGAGGAAGAGCAAATATACTGTGTTTTGTGGTTAATTAAATTTAACTACTAACCCCTACTCTTTTGTCAAGTGTTGCATCTGTGCTGAAAGTTCCAATTTTGAGTTTGAGTAGACTTGGGGCAAGGACTTCCATATTACAGTCTGATATCATCAAAGTAACCTTTCTCTTTTTATTTTCATTTTTTAAACTGGAGGTAATCGAACAGAGCTAGGTATATGCAGGCTTTTAACCATTTTAGCGTCAGGAATTTGAGGAGCTAGCTTATGTTGTGGTGAATGCAACATTGAAGAACCGGTTAGACCCTCTTTTAGTCTTGCCTCCTTTTTTAATCACACCAATCCTGTTAAGTAAGTAACCACTACAAGATTAATGCTTGACTATTTCTCTAAGTTAATTCACCACAATCTTGGAAATCTTGTCCCAACTTTAAATGGGTATTCCCTATCTTAGAATTCAAATTCTTTGAGCATAATTAGATATCTTACTGCTATCTTCTTTGTTTGTATATACAGCTGTCTGTACTTCTTTGATACTTTGGGCGCTAACAATGAAGGACTTTAGAATGAGTAACAAGCAGCTTCGGCGCAAGCTGTTGATGGATTTATGGCATAACTCCTCGAAACTGTCCTTACATCAGAAGGAGCTTTGTAAAAGCTAAATATCATGGTAAAGACTAAGAGTTATGATGGATAAGTACCTTCGTGTATATGTTTTTAATATATTTGTTCTTATTTGAGATGTAATAAATTGTATATTGTTTACCTTTGAGATCTCAGGATCCTGCTTACTATTCGTTTCTTCTCAGGGAGGCTTTCCTCATGATTTCTTTACACACTTAATATCTAGTGCTGTGCCCTTGTCTGAGAATGACTCAAAGTAGAGATATGTGGCGTTCATGGTATGCTTTACTGGTAAACTCCAACTCCCTGTTTGCATCTATTGATGATGTTTTTCTGTTATAACAATTTAAAACCGCGCTAGACATGTAGAGCTCATGATACTTCACGAAAAACCCCATCTTCCTATTATAACAATATTAAACTATAAAACTGCGTATAAAAAACAATATTCAACTAAAAGATGTGCTTTATGATCTCAAATCTTGACTTTTGTTTGTACAGTTAGCGAACGTGCAATTAATATTGAACTTCCCTGTTGCTGTATTGTACTTGGTTAATTTTTTATAGATTTATGATTCACAAATGATGCAGTTGTGTTTTGTTACGACATGCAGGTATGGAGGCTGGAAATGACCTCTGCACCCTCTCAATGCATGCAATCCTTATAAACCAGAATTGGCGTGTTAGGGTATGATACTAAATAATCATTATACATATTATTCTAGGTCCAGCTGAGATGGTAGATGATGTAACTGGTAGATTGAAGCTTTTATAGTGGCAGTCGCCTTGCTCTCTTTTTGACATTGAGATGTTATAAAGCTTTCAAGATCCTGAGCTAGTGTTGGGCAAGAAAACACCATAGCAGGTATCTGGGCATTTCGGCTGCTGCCCAGATACCTGCCACGTTCTTGTTGCTGCTGCTGATGAAACTTGCAGCTCCTCTTTAAGCTGCATAACATATTATTGCACTGAATGTCCTTACTTAGTTTGACAACAAAACAGCAAAAGATGGTTCATTAATTTCTTTTAATAAGTCAGAAATGGGCCATTCATTCGTAGTGTATTAGTGAGTTACACTGATGACTGAATATTGTTGTACAGTCAAACCTCCCTATAACAGCCTCGTTTGTTTCGAATATTATTGGATGTTATAACGAATTGTTGTTATAGAAAACCTATACTATAATAGAACATGAGATTTGGTTCCGGAAAAATTTGGCTTTTATAGAGAAGTGTTGTTATATAAGGATGCTGTTATAGAGAGGTCTGACTGTATCTTGATACACGAGTATCGCTCTGTGTTTATCTGAAATGAGACTAGAAGATTAGTAACTTAATCCAATAACAATGGATTGTGCATCCCCATGGTTTAGGATTTGAAGGGCATAAAATTGGTGTGAAAATAGAAGGCATAAAGTTTTATGCCTTCACCGAGTTATCTTGTCAAACTGGACTCCACAAGATTGGTGTGAGAATAATCGGAAAAGGGCCAAAAATGTCCTTGAACTATTTGAAATAGCTCAAAAATATCCTTCCTTTATTTTTGGCACCAAAATATTTCTACCGTCTATGTTTTGGACCACAAATGCTTCTTAAACCGTTAGTCTTGCCATTAAAGCTGACATTGCAGTCCAAGTGAGTTAGATTTGCTTACATGGCCATCCACCTAAGCAATCCAGCATGGCAAAATTATTTTTCCGGAAATTTTTATCAAAATACAAAATCAATACTTATTTTGAAAAAAGTAGTAAAAATTTCTGGAACATGCTTTATTATATTGTTCCTGAAATTTTTTACTTTTCTTGGAATAAGTGTTCGACCATGAAAATTTTAAATTTCACTTGAAGTTGAATTTTCGAATTTTTGAAAATTTGAAAACTCCAAAAATTATAAGAATTTCAGATGAACCAATCGATACTTACAGTAGATGTGTACCTTTTGTGAAGCTATAACAGATAAACATCTAAAAATTTGGATCAAACTAATCCTCAATTCACAAAAGAGAACAATGGAGTTTTTTAATCAAATCATAAACCCCAATCAAGAATAATTTTTCCGAATTTTTTTTACTTTTTTCGGAATAAGTGTTGATTTTGTATTTTAATAAAAAAACTTTCGATATAAAAAATTATTTTGCCATGCTGGGTTGCTTAGGTGGTGACCATGTAAGCAAATCTAACCCAGTTGGACTGTCATGTCAGCTTTAATAGCAAGACTAACGGTTTAAGGGGCATTTGTGGTCCAAAACATAGACGGCAGGGATAATTTTGGTACCAAAAATAAATAGAGGATATTTTTGAGCTATTTCAAATAGTTCAAGGATATTTTTGGCCATTCTTCATATTTACCACAAAACACTGCAACCATAATATTTTCCTTCCTTGAAAAATGTTGCCTTTAATGTTGTTAATCATAACCTGGGAAAATGTCTATTTCCCAACCAACAACAATTTAAAAACTCAATGGTATACCACCCAGAAATCAGAATTCAAACTCACCAGATCAACGTCCCTTCGATATGTGTCATCATTTGACGACTTCACAATGTTCTTCCCTGATTTAATTTAAAAATTGCGCTTGGTTATAAAGCATAATTTGATGAGCAGAGTTAGGAGGTAGCTGGTGAAATAGTCGAGCGCGCCCTAATTTTCCAACCTCGAGAATTGTGATAGCGCCTAACACCACACTTGCTAGGTAAGTCAATGTTAGAACTCGTTTAACCATTTTCCTTGAATATTTATTTAAGCACAATAATACAATTAAAAATAAACTAAGTCTAATGAATTCCAACAAAAAATCTCATGAATAAGATAATAACGAATGAATAATCGAACCACGAACTAATAATATATATATATATATATATAACTCTAAGACTACCCAGGATCTGGTGTCACAATTCACGAACTACTAAAGAATACTACAAATACTGGGCTGAAAGAAAATAGAGTAACTGTTCTGAATGTAATAAAACAATGTTCAAAAATAGGGGAAGACTCTCGGGATCTGCGAACGCCGATAGATATACCTCGTGTCTCCGAAAGAGTGAATAGCTACTACTAAAAATCTCTACTGCTAGCTGGTACCTGGATCTGCACAAAAGAGTGCAGAGTGTAGTATCAGTACAACCGACCCCATGTACTGAGTAGTGCCGAGCCTAACCTTGACGAAGTAGTGACGAGGCTACGAAGGACATTTATAACATAATCTGTGACAATATATAATAAAGCAGGAAAAAAAAATCTAAACTAAATAAAAGTTATAATCTGCAGCAATAAATAGAGTAACTCAGCCGCCCTTTTTTTTCAAGCCTCAACTATAACCAAATCCTCCCACAAGTTTTCCAAATTTTCCAAATTTCTACTTTGAAACAACCGTAAGTGCACGATATGAATAATAGTAAGGTAAAACAGTAAGTTTTCCAAATCCTTGTATTCAAAAAACAGTAAAACATAAATGTCCTCCCTTATTGCTCCTTGTTGCGGCCCGCAACCCGCTCCCACCTATCCACCCTTATTTCTCCTGTTGCGACGTGCAACCCGATCCCACCTGTCCATCCTTATCACTCCTTGTTGCGGCGTGCAACCCGCTCCCACCAGACAATCACATCTCTTTATTTATAAAAAGGATTTTAACAATTTAATATGCCTCAGCAATTGTAAACAAAACAGGTCTTTAATATGTCTCAACAATTGTAAACTGAACAAGTCTCACTTTCAATAACGGTAAGAGCAGAATATGAAATAATGACAATAAAACAATGAGTGATCCAACCTTTATTTTATAAACAGTAAAACATGAATATTCTCCCTTATTGCTCCTTGTTGCGGCGTGCAACCCGATCTCACCTGTCCACCCTTATTGCTCCTCCCTATATATATATCACCCTTATTTCTCCTGTTGCGGCGTGCAACTGGATCCCACCTGTCCATCCTTATTACTCCTTGTTGCGGCGTGCAACCCGCTCCCACCAGATAATCACATTTCTTTCAGTTATTAAGATTTCACAATTCAGACCACTACCTTTCACAACACTTTTGTTTCAACAATTGCAAACAGAAATCAGTATAGCTCGTAAGCTTTAACCAGTATCATTTCACAATAAAACCCACCAGAATATATGTAAACACCGTGACGCTGTCAACCCAGCTCAGTCTTTATATACTAGGATAGAATCAAAAGAACAACCAACACTTTTAACACACTTGCAATAACAGTTGGCAATAATCAAATAAAACCAAGTAGCCACGTAAAACTCAACAATCATAAAACAGTTAAACTGCATTTCTCATAACTTGCTCCATATTATAAAAAAAAAATGAAACCAACAGGAATATACATATATATACGTCTAGTAAAACAATGTCAATCTGCTCAACCTTTATGTACTACAAGGAAACCAAGAAGACAACTAATACTCTTCCAACATAATTACAACAAGACTTAATAACAAAGTAACAAAGCCAAGTAATCATAAAAACAATAGTGAACATAGAACCATTAAGACATGAATCAATTACATTGGAAATGAGAAAGGGATCATGCTTAACAGACAATTTGGTGGTGCATAGATACTCGTCACCTCACCTATACACCACACACATGCAATTCACATAGCAATTAAGTTGGGGATTCCTATTCCCTCAAGTCAAGGTTAAACCAAGCACTTACCTCAATTTCGCAGGCCACTCACAGCCTAATTATAACTTTTCCTTTAGAATCTTGCTCTAACTTGCTCGAATCTATTCATAATCAACTTATTATCAATTAAGGGTAAAGGAACTAACTTTATTGAAAAATATAATTTTTTCTAAATTTTCTCAAAAAAAAGTGAAAATTCGACCCTGGGCCCGCTTGGTCTAAACTCGGGGTTTGGACCAAATTACGTTTACCCATTCACCCACGAACCCAAATATATAATTAGTTTTGGAATCCGACCTCAATTCGATGTAAAAATTTGATTTTTACAAAATTTTCTAATTTTATCCAAACCCTCAATTTTTACCATGAAAATTCTTAGTTTTTGCTTTAAAAGTGATGAAAAACAGTAAGGAATTGAAAGAGCAAAGTTTAGAATTGATTACCTATGACTTGAGGATGATATTTGATGAAGAAATTCGCTCCTAGGCTGTGGGGTTCAAAAATATGAAGAAGAGGAATGTCTGCCCGTTTTTACACTGTATTTATAAGACTGGGAACTTACTCTATGCATTCGCGTGCCTTTGGCCACGTTCGCATAGGCTTAGTCCCCCTAAGCCTAAATAACTCTATGCGTTCGCATCTGTAGGGTGCGTTCGTATAGAACAAAATAATCCCCCAGTATTTTTACTCTATGCGTTCGCATCTGTAGGGTGTGATCGCATAGAACAAAATAATCCCCTAGCATTTTTGCTCTATGCGTTCGCATCAGTAGGGTGCGTTCGCATAGAACAAAATGATCCCCAGCATTTTTACTCTATGCGTTCACGTCTAGGGGGGTGCGTCCGCATAGAACAAAATTATCTCCCAACATTTTTACTCTATGCGTTCGCATTCGAAGGGGTGCAAACGCAATGCATTAAATAGCTGTGCACCAACAACAACAATTACAACAGATGTTTAAGTGAAAAATCATCCCGTGGTCTATCCAAAACTCACTCGAGCCCTCGGGGCTCTAAACAAAACATGCACGCAAGTCTAAAAACATCATACGGACTTGCTCGTGCAATCAAATCATGAAAATAACATGTAAAACAATGAATTACACCTCAAAACTCATCATTTTCATCAAGAACATTTATAATTCATAACTTTTCAACCAAATGTCCGAATCACGTCAAATGAACTCCGTTTTTTCACCAAATTTCATAGTTATCCTTTTTATATCATAACATCTGTACCGGGCTCCGGAACTAAAATATGGGCCCGATACCATTGATTTCAAACAATATTTCTTTTCTTTATTTCATTAATATTTCAGCAAAACAATTTCCTTCAAAAATTAATTTCTAAGGCTCGGGACCTCGGAATTCATTTTCGGGCATACGCTCGAGTACCATATTTTACTGCGGACCTCCCGGGATCGTCGGAACACAGATCCGGATCCGTTTACTCAAAGTGTTGACCAAAGTCAACTATAATCAAATTTTAACTTTAGAAATTACTATTTCTCATATTTTCACATAAAAGCTTTTCGGTTTCACCCCCGGACTATGCACGCAAATTGAGGTATTTTAAATTTATCTTTTTTTGGGGCTATTAAACCTAAAATGGAGTCTAAATTCATAAAATAACCCCTTGAGTTATCACAGAAAGAGATACCTTTGGAGATGTGATTGAACTTTTGGTTGGCATCTTCTTCATTGCTAATAATAATTTGATTGAAAAGATTAGTTTTTTTTTTGTATTTGCAACGGATTTCTTCTTCACCTTTTGTTCTTTGGAGCAGAAATACTATTTGCTAATTTTACCTCATTCTTCTTCTTCATCTTTCTTTGAATGCTAGGGATTCTTCTTCATCACAGACTGAATTACCCGTCTGTGATATACCTCTCCCACCATTGGGTCTGCTTCTAGTTTTTTACTTCTTTTCTTCTTCCCTTTTTTGGCGGAATACATCCAGAGTCCCTTAAATTTGTCAATATATTTTATCTAAACATTTAAAATATTAATGCATATTACAATGATGCATATGAAAACATAATAAAATATTCCTACCATAAAATTTAAGGATTACAGGTGGATAGTGATGACAGGGTGGAGATAAGTCAACAAATAGTTAATATCAGATACAAACACGTTACTGGTATTGTACGAATTTTGAGGACATAAAGATCGAAGAAGTGAATTTGAAAGTAAGATAACGGTTAGAGAAAACAACATTAAAGGACTTGCAGGCATGAAATGCAGCGTCCCCGACAAAAAGGGACGTCAGAAATAATGTACCAAGGATGTAAGGCAACAGAATAACTGAAAGTTGAAACTGAACTGATAATATAATAACTGGAAGTAACATGGAGTCAAAGATAATCTGAAGATACGCTTACCTGCTGATACTGACTCAACCTCTCAATATAGTACGTAAAATAGTTGTCCGGCCTTATAAGGCTCGGTATGTGTAACAACTCAATCGTAGTAGGCTCATTCATAGGCGCTCAACCATACTAGGTCTGTATCTCGGCCATTCTGGGCTCGTTCATAGGCGCTCGGCCATAGTAGGCTCGGTATATAACTCACTATCTAATCAGAGTTTTCCCAATAGGGGCCTGCCCATCGATTATAGCTTGATGGTGGTGAAAATACTGTAATACTGTGCATATATAGATTCTCTACTCTTTTGGCTGACAGAAGACAAAACTAAACTGAATATGAAGTCCCGATAAGGGAGAATACTGTAAATTATGAGACTAGGACAATGTACATAAATTCAGAAATATGAACTTCTCTTTATGTCTCGTTATCAAACACATGTAGTTACTAGATCATGCCAAAGGAAAAGTTTAGCCTTAACATACCTTAACTTTGTTGAGTTCTTAATACCTTCTAAGCAATTTTTCTAACAACTCAACTCAATCTACCACAGTATAAGGAGATTCAAAATCAGTGCTGAGTAAAGGCTAAGTTCGCAACTTAAACTAGTAGCTCGTTTATGTAAATTTGGGCAACATCTCCCTATAACAAGGCCCTCATCCAATACCATATACCAAAAACACCAAGAACAAAACAATAACAACATGTATGTATCATTTTCCAACCTTATCTCCATCACAATATATCACAAAATAGCCCACACACTATAATCACTTCATACATAAAACGTCAATAAAAGTAGTGTCAAACAACCTAAAAGTACAACGACGAATGACCAACCTACCATTCCATCATTATGAGGTGTTTCTCCGCACCCTTTATCCTCCAAAACTCCATAAAGCATCAGCAAGATAGACAGCCCAAAAGCAACACGAAACAACCCACAAAATAGTCCACTACAAGTCGAATAACTCGAACTCACGGCTTCCGATCATCGTCCCATGAGTTCTAACTATTAGGAAATAAATTTATCAACCTTCCTATAGATTTAAAGCTTAAATACAGAAAGTAGACATTTTCTTAACTATGAAGTACCTTCCAAAACTCAAACTACAAAGAAAAAGAAAGGCGACATATCGATACTTACGTCGTAGGGATCGTTCTAGTATAATCGCTTCTTGATTTCGTACCCGGGATGTTAATATTCTTGAAAACCCTCGTGGAGAGCTTGAGGATAAGTTTAGGGGTCTTATTCTGGTCGTGGTATATGGAAAAGTGAAGAAAGAGACGACATAAGGCTATAATATATATATATATATATATATCCATTTTTGAAAAGTCCAAGAGGTACTAGCTTGGCACCCTATTATTGGCTCTTCTTCAGGCGCTTATATCATTTTATCCGAATGTCGTATGAAAGAACGGTTAAGAGAGTTAGAAAATGCATTCCAAGACCTTCCATTTGTTATATAATATGTCTCTAAAATACCTCATATAACACATGAAATGTATTGCTCAAAAAGCTTTAGTGACACACCTACTCGTCATTTATGCAGTCTGCGCAGTCTCACGAAGTTGCAAATATCTCTCTACTCCTATGTCGTATCGATGAACGATTTAATGCATTAAAAAATAGACTCGTAGATATTCAATTTGGTAGGTATATCATCTCCTAATTCCAAGTATATTGGGAGAAAAACTCAGCTACATTTGACCTAAGTTTCATCATATTTATGAATGTAACTTGTGATGATCTTTGCCAACTTTTGTTCCACAACTCGCTTGACTTCAAAACATAACACACGATTATCATAAGACAAAAATAATTCATAACATAACCTCCTTATCATTTTGAGCACCCTAGTCTCACCTTAAAAGTACATGTTATAATATTCCCAACTTGTCGACTTTCGACGAAACTTATTTTATTCAATTGGTTTAGCTTCTAAGCCTTCCAACCCTCTTGGTACTTGCAATCTGTGATCTTAAATATTTGTAACCTCCAAGTTAACATGATTAACTTACTTTCTATACTTTCAACGATGATCCCATTTCAGAGCTTACATCAATTGACTTACAACGTACTCTCACACACGAAACTATGGGGTGTAACACAAAATCATCAACGTATACCAGCTGATCAGGTGGTGGTGCGTATATAATACCGTAATATATACACACACACACACCCATACACACACACACATATATATAAACACACACACACACACACACATATATATATATATATATATAACGCCATCTGGTCATGGGTAAATGTACATGTATAAATGAATGCAATGAATGAGAAGTACGTCAATAAAATCTCTTGGAACGTCATAAGACCATTATGCCTTTGATTAATGTCATGAAGTAAACTTTATCAACTTACGTATTTTCGGAGACCCATGAACAGGTAATAGAATAATAGGACACATGGAGAATCAGGAACATAGGCAGCTCTAGTATTTCTATGAGTAGAGTCATTTATGGAAGTTGTGCAGTTGCTCGTTTCCTTTGTATCGTATCGATCATACCAAAAAGAAAGAAGGGATAGCCTTAACATACCTGAGCCGATTCTCTTGACAATTCCTCTAACATACGTCAATTGCGACAAAACACGTAACGACGGATCGAAGTAAGGGAGAATCCGTATGATATTCTTGAGAAAAATTGTACCGTACTCCCTTAGAATCGCAAAATCCCGTTTCTATTATGCTAAGAAGTCTCGTATGAATCTGTTGCTGAAGCTATTTACGTTGATATGAAGATAGGTATATCTCTCTTTTGTGAATTTTATCATAATCTCATATAACTTTTGTTGAATTTGAGAAGACTTTCATGTCTTTTGTTGAAGTTAAACGTTGCCATTCCATATCTTTGTGAATTTGAGAGTCTTTCACTTTAGTGGGTGTGGGCCCAACTAGGTGATGACTTAGCCAGAGCTCATCCAAAATGTGCCACCTTGTTTTGTGAGTTAAGACTCATTATCAAGGCCTCTTTGGGCTGTCATGGTGG